GATTATCTCACAAATAATATGGTACTTATTTGTTATTTTTTTAATTCTGCTACGGAGTACAGTCAGCGTCAAATACTTCATGACACCCAAAGAACCAAAAACTCTGCAACATGTCATTGTTACATTTGGAATAAGGTTGTGTTGACAACTTTTTGACCACTTTGGGTGTCACGAACTATTTGACGCTGACTGCACATTCACACGCACTTAGGATGTGTGATAAAATGTACCAGTCTTAAAACGTAATTAATTATACGGGTATAATAATCGACATTTAATAAAATCCACAAGCGTAGGAGGCAATAATCAGTCTCCTATTAAAGGTTACAAAAATAGGTAATACTATTTTTAGTACCTACTCCCTAATAACATTGCTTTTTTAACTTCAAGCAGTACCTAATTAAGTCACGCTTTTGAAGCCAATACCTGGATGATTCTTGTAATTTAATTATAATTATCTACTTGTACAGAAGAATTAATTAAGAAGACTAGAAGTTACATTTATTTGGATTTTAAACAGATTTTACTAAGTTAGAAATAAAACAAAATAATCAGTCAGTCACTGAAAACTGTTTTAGTTGTGAAAATAATTAGTTCACAAAAAATATGCTTTTGTGTTGAGATATTTTAATTTTCGAATTTGATGCATTTTAAAATAGGTTTAGATTCACCGTAATTAATCTATTAAGGCAGCTGGTTTTCGGCTCTACGAAATTCTGTTAAAGTTTCTAATAAGCTAATAAAATCCCCCATGGGCACAAAGAAAATAGACAATTACTGAAGAAATATAAGTTCAATAAAAAGTACAAATAAAGTGTGATGACTGTCTGTTTCTTATCGCAAATGGAGTAAATTTTACGAGTAATTTTGGAAAATTTCAAGCTTAATTCAGCCACTATTCCGTAAAACTTTGTCGCGAACCCCCTGGCGTCGAACGACAAACCCCTAGGGGTTCGCGTATCCCACTTTGAGAAACCCCGTATTAAAGGATTAATAATTATTATAATACCATTTTCAAAATAATAATTATTTTTACTTTCCATTGTAGTGCTTCCAGAGAATTTGCTAAATTGAGCCGTCCCAGAAAAAAAATCCGTTCCCACGCGTCCACGCCACGTGCCCAGAGTACGCAAGTAAGAAACCTAGAAATTTTACCAAACATATTGTTATATTATTGTGAATACTGGTCTAAAGGTACGGCCGACAGCATAATAATATCAAGCTTAACGCAGTGGCTTCTTATCTCTTTGTAATACGGGTTATTATGCATCAAAAGCATATTATCTGACGTGTTGTTGTCTGTTTTTTTTGTATGTACATGATTTTCAATAATGTCGACATACACGTGTATTGGCACTGCGTAACATTTACGTAACTACAGGATAAGCTTCCCTGGAGGAAAATATTCCGTGTGATAAGGCATTACGTACACCATTTCACCAGAATAACGAACTGAAGTCATTGACTGTAATAAAGCTTGCAAACGATCCATTATCATTACATTTAGCGACACGACATCTATGTGTCTATGTAGCGAAAGGTCAAGCTGACTCACTTATAACGAAATCTCAGAAACACCTACAAACTTGAAATTTGGTATCTAGGTTCCATAGGATGTTATGTAGACATCCGCTAAGAACGAATTTTACGAAACTCCACCCTTATGGGGGTAAAACGTGGTCCACGCGTATGAGATGGAGGGCGGCCGCTCTAGTTAAATTATATCTTTAAATGTATATTAACCAGGTAAAATTAAATTGTTATACAATATTTTAAACGTCAATTACCATACTATGAGTACACGTCAATTACATACTCCGAGTAAACTAAGTTTAAGCTTGACTAGACAACTAATAAACACTTAATACTATTAATTTATTTTCGTTGATCAAATATTCGATTTCTAGTTTAATAATATTGTAAGGTTTGTACCAAAGAACATCCTTTGCTGTCGTAAGCATTTTATGTTACACAAACCGTTGGGTTTTATTTCAAAGAAAATGAATCCTTTCTACTAGAAATCCGTCCAATGCATTCGGATTTTACATATACTCGTATTTTCTTGTATGTTACATGTTCATGTGATGGGTAACATATTGTGGCATTACGTCGAAGTGGTCGAAGCATCAGCTAGTGTTAAATAATATTATTGCTTAAGAAAATATTTTTCTCAATTATCTACGTCATCCAATATTACAAAATTACTTTATGACATTTATATTAATAAGATCTTTTAAACTTATTCTTGTTCCAGGACACGGTTAGGAAACTTTTTGTAAAGAGCGAGTTCCCACCCAACTTGAAGGAACTATTCAAGAGTTTTTTAATATAAAATCGAGAAAGGCCACGAGAGTTTAATATAATAATAATAATATAATAAATAATAAAATAATAAAATCTTTATTTAAGCAAGACAGATTTACAAAAAACGGAATGACAGTCTTAAGCTAATTACATGCTATGGTGGATTGTGAAGAAGTGTTGGTAGCGGTTCTCGCACTAGGTATGCACCTGTATCGCGAGAAACCAAGTAACATTTTGCCAAGAAATTTTTATGCGGGTGGACTGAATTGGCGACTGCTTTTGGGTAATTTACTTACACAATACAAATTTACAACAACAAGCAAATTATACAAGAGTGGAGATAGATTGTATGAGTGTGTGTGAGCGTATGTGAGTACCTGCAGTGCATGTTGTCTTTATTGTGGTATTTTGAGTAGGTTTTCCGTTTCCATGTACGAGAGGGAAAGTAGCCATTTGGTGACGTCTCTGGCAGCCTGCCGAACTGAGGAGAGTCTGGTGTCACAAAAGCGTGTTATTTTGTTGTATATAAAAGGGAGCCTGAAGTTAAGGTGGTTCCTAGCTTCTTTCAAATATCGAGCACTGTCAGAAACATGCAGAGTTCTGACGTGTTGCGAGTAGCGTGGCGCAGCGCGGCAGCGGTAGGATGTTGCGCTATAGCGCGATCTAAGTGATCAAGGCCATCGGTATTCATATCTATTATGCATCGTACCTCTTTGATTGTGCGATACCTTGCTTTTGTTATTTGGCGTCATATATTGCGTTCGTCAAGCCGCGGCCTTTGTAACCTTTTCCCTACGGGAGGCAAAGTCAAAAGTCACTTCTCAAAATAAGGGTGGCATCTATTGTACGACAAAAAAACAAAAATTACATTAGTTGCAGAATATTATTCCAAACTAGCTGACCCGGCGAACTCTGTTCCGCCTTAAAGGCAATAAATAAGCCATCGCAATTTTTCCTTATTTGCTCACCGACCGTTTAGACCAGTATTTCCCAAAGTGGGCGATAACGCCCCCTTGTGGGCGCTGCAGGCTTAAAGGGGGCGGTAAGAGACCCAGAAAAAAAATCGGGACGTTGTGTAGAGGCTTGGGAGGCGTCATCTACTAGGAGGACTCTTAGACATCGACTGAGCTCGACTCTTGACTACAAAAATGGGGGGCGCTAAAAATAATTAACTCCCAAAGTGGGCAGTAGACTAAATAAGTTTGGGAACCACTGGTTTAGACCTACCCTGGACTACGACAAACATTTTAAAACCAAAATCAGCTCAATCGGCCCAGCCGTTCTCGAGTTTTAATCAGACTGACGAACAGCAATTCATTTTTATTTATATAGATAGATATAGATTTCAATTCCGTAATGTTCATACATACATACATACATTTTTAAAATATCTGGATGTAAAGTGAAGCAAAAATTTTGAGAGGCGCACTTTGGTTTCCAAGAGCCCGTAGGGAAAGGGTTAATGTATTTAGCCTAGACCCAGAAGTGCGAGGCGCACAAGCTGTTACTGAAAAGCAACATAAGTACGAGTTGTTTCGACGGCAACATGTGCGAATAATGTCTTTGAATTTTCAGGAACTTTTTTCAGCATTATTTTATTGCCCTGTGTCCGGAGCCATCTGAGGATACTGTCAAAACTGTTTATCTACNTTTTTCAGCATTATTTTATTGCCCTGTGTCCGGAGCCATCTGAGGATACTGTCAAAACGGTTTATAAACAATATAAATAACACTTGTTTCAACTTCAGGCGTTATCTAAATATTTTCTGTATGAACTGAAAGATAGCTGTGCTATGTAGCGCTGATGTATTATCAACATCATAAAATATAAAGCATTTATAGCCAAACAATCTCAATTTATATTCCAAACAATCGTAACTCATCTACTTAATTGTTTGCAAAAACTTTCAAAGATAATTTATTCATCTATTAATTTATTCGCTTAACTGAAAATAGAATATTTTACTGCATTTTAAAAGGTCTAATAAAGATAATAATTGGCTCGGAAAATTCTTTGATTTTTAATATTCTCTCTGAAAACTAATAAAACTCTCTAACAATAACGTTTTTGTAAACGCAAACTTGAAAGTGTTTTTTTTTATCGTCGCATCATCATTATTCTAAAGTCGTTCACGGCAAAACTTTGTTGAGTTTAGTTATAAAATATTTTGACGTCAATCAGCTCGTCAGTTCTTTTTTCAGCACAAGTCTAGTCTAACAGGGAACATCAGTCTTGTAATTTCCGAAATATGTAAAAAGGAAATGAGACCGTGCATTATCTGGCAACGTTTTTTTAGTCTACGTCAATAAATGTAAAGTATTTGACAGCAAACATCTCTCATGAAGATGCATTGGAGGGTGGTGCATACTGATAATGACTTATAAAATCGGTGATTTGGTCGGCTATTTCATGAACAAATTATATGCACATCGGTCTCCTTAATAGCTCTACGTCAGCTAAACTTAAAAAATGTAAATTAAAGATGAAAATGTTGTTTTCGAAAGAGCTTTAATTTCATGGCCATGGTTTTACACACATTAGCCGTTTAAAGTTCTGACTTAAGAAATAACTAAAAAGTATTATAGGCTAACTAGTAGAGAGAATTTATTGAGCTATTTTCATACATAGTTGTGTGTTATCAGCAACTCCTAAAACTAAGTACTTAAAAAATAGAATTAAAAAAAATCATACTCACTTCTTAGTATAGTTGCATTTCACGGCAACTACTATCAATAGTATGTTTGCTACTAATGATAGCAATATTATAGGAACATATAGAGTGATCAGTATGTGTTCCGGTTGAAAGAATATGTCCAATTCTGTTCCGAACTGGAATGTTCCGTTTAAGCCGACACTTAAATTTAACCCTTCTAGAGGGTTAAAATCCTTCACTGTCATATTCGGGATCATTTTTATCCCTTTTGCACATCAAGGCTAATGAGAAATTGTTGGCGAAGTGACACTGGACCGGTAGAATATATCACTGAGATTTGTTTGCACATTTTATTACACAATATAATGAGTCACTTTTATAAAAAACTAAGTTAGTTTTAGTAGTCAAATGTATGATTTATCATTCTTTATTAACTTAACCACTTTCACGAAAGTTTTTGAATGGACCACTAAGTTCACAGTGCACTAAAGAAAACTTTCTCTCAAATTAATATTGAATACAAAACTCTATCAACATCGGTATAATTATTTCTAAACACACTCAACACAGTTAAAGTTTCACTTTTGCTTGCTACGAAAAACTTTCAAAAAGCTTTTCTCGAATAGTTTCCGCACTTTCGCCTGTCTTCGAGCTTTTGCCGAATTGCGTCCGCTGTATGGGGTGGCGCGAAAATGACTGAATGAAGGCATTTTCCCGCGGGAGCGAGAGGGCTGCTGTGCAAAAAAGAGGCAAGATTTCGAACTGAATGAAAAGGTGTATTGCTGCAGAAAATGGTCCCGTGAATTTTTTAAGTTCGTTTATGCAACGTGCCGTAGTTTATTGTAGCGCGATCGCTTTATTGAAGACAAACGTTGTACATTATTTGTTTATTTTATATAAACGTTGTATATTATTCGGATGGTATTTTCGGTACAGTGAATCGGCTTTTAGGGTGAACAATTGTGAGGATTCACGTAGTTCAGTAGTAATAAAGCAGGCTGTGATTGAGACCTACATAGGTACATCACACAAGACTTAGCCATAATATAGTTTGCCAAACTAACAACATCAACCCATTCAATTTTTGACAAATTATAACCAAGCAAGATTCCATAACAACATTTACCACCCACATTGATAACATAGTAAGTAACCTAAAATCTTTTAACAAATAAAATTCCAAACCACGTAGGCGAGAGCAACGCGTAAACCGATAGCGCCGCGCTTTCGCTGAATTTGAAAATGCCCAAAATAATTTAAAAAAAACGTATTTCCATGTCCAATTTCAAAAAATTATAATATTAATCTGAGCACGCAGACTGCTTATATTAATCTCATGAATTATCATGTAATTATATTTAATATGTTTTGATTAATATGATGATGTACGTCTAACATATTTCTAAGAACATTGTTACTAACTCTACAAATTAGTCTCTAAGTTCAAATTGTTACTAACCAAACTATTGACTGCTTTTGTCTGAAAATAAATGATTTTATGATTTAAGCCGTGTGGTGACGGCAGAGTAGAATACATTTGTCACCAACCCCTACTCTTCCCGCGGGTGTCGTAAGAGGCGACTTAGGGACTACACATCAAACAGAGAATGGGCAGCAGCGCTCTCTGAAAAACAACAATCTTTTAAACTGCGATCTCCAACCCGCCTGCCAAGCGTGGAGATTATGGCAAAACCCTCCACTATAGTGGAGGAGGCTCATAGTCCAGCAGTGGACTGTAAAGGGCTGTTGATGATGATGATGATGAAATGATTTTAATTTTTATTTTATTTATTTATTTAATATAAGTTTGCGATCACAAACTAGGTACACGTGGCGTCTGAAGCCGCAGCCTAAAATAGATCGATGATCGGGATTTTGATTGAGTTTCATAGCGCGCATAGAGGAAGCTGTCTGGCAGTGGATTGACGTATTGTTATGGTAAAATATGTAAACATCGCATCTTTTACACGCCGCGACGGCCTGGTGACCAACAAAGCTATGCTGGTGGATTAGAGACTGCTTTTTAGTTCCTTTGAATCCGGATTTTTGCAATGCTTTTTACTATACGGCTCTGTCAAAGTAATATCAGTCAACAAATCACTCTATTCCAAGTTTTAGTAAACAATTCCTGGAAAAAAATACGAACTGATATAATGTCACAATCCTGTATTATTTCAAAATCCACAGATGCTCAAACACACGTTTGAGAGAGAGACTTAAATATTGAATTGGGTACTAAAACAGAGAACATTAAAAATAAATACAACAGTAATAAACATTTTAGGCCAATCTTCAACAAACAATCATTATAAATACCTCGTAGATCACGGGAACAGATTCATAAACAACTCCTGGGCAGGCATCGATTGTATTGGCAGCGGAATAGATTTATCTAAATGAACAAAAAACCAATATTCTGCCTACACCTCTTCCATATCCAACTTTCAAGCTATTTTCTGCTGAGAATTACATTTATTATGTAACATTTTTTTTTGTTTTGATGGTCCTTTGAATTATTGATTCGAAAAATTATAAAAACAGAATATTGATGAGAATGAATAAAATAGTTTAGTTTGAAGAAAAGGTCGACCAGAAAAGATGCTACGTATTACTTAAGTCTATTTGAAAAATGAATGTTTTGTAAGGGTCGTAGGTATCCGGAATTGTTTATTTGACAAAAATAGGTTTCATCGGTGTAATGTGTTTTCGTCTTGGGACTATCATCCATCACTTCCGGAGTTAAGTATCTGCGGCAAAACTAACTTATTTCTGTTATAAAATTCGGGAAAGTTTCGTTAAGTTACAAAGAAAAGAACACAACAAATCGAATTTGGTTTGAAAATAGATGTAGCAGTACCACAAGCAGTACAGTGGTAGTGATAAAGGCGCGTAACTAAATAAAAATATTTAGGCCGATTGTGCTCATAAAAAATAAACAAGTTTCAGCACAAAAAAGAAAATCTTTTTAATACGTTTTCTTCGAAATGAAAAACACGAGTAACATTGTTACTTCATTATTTTGAAACATGTAGTCTGTAATAGACGAAACGATAAAATAATACAGAAGGAGTTAGTTAGCACAGTTACATCTTACGAAGTATGCTAAGCTAGGCCTGTCCTATAGACAATCTTTTGGCACAAGTTTTATGATTTACGCGACTTAGTTCAGTCAACATAATAACAGTCAGATAATGATAATAGTTATAATGTGATACAGAACTTTTATGAATAAATCGTTAGGAAAACTCAATAAGATAAACGATTAAAGCCAGACCAGTCTTGGCATAAAAGAAACCTTCCTAGCCGGTCCTAAACAAGCAAATGTCGATGGGCTCTCTTATACGACGTATTTAACGGAGCTGCCCCGTGCGTCAACGGTTTTACTGCGTAGTTAAAGCGCAACAAATAAAATGCTGGCTTATTAGCATACGCAAATGATAGCAGCCATTACATAATACATTCCATTAAAAAATCTTCAGATGCAACGTAAAAATACGAATAACAGACATTTATTGAGTTGTAAAGACGAACATTTACAGCGGGTCTGGGCGCTTGCATAGAATGCAAGATAGCGTTTAAAATGGAGCGCTAATAATTAAAAATAATTTGAAGAGAGTAAAAACGCATTTTTACTCTTTTGTTTTATCTGCTACCTCTCTATATTTTCAAATAACATTAATTGACATTATTACAATATGTATTTTTTTTCACATTACAATCTTATATTTTTCTAGTTATAAGAGACAAAATATCATAAGTTCGTTTTTAGTTGAAGAAATGTTATGAAGATTGCAGGAAGTATTAAAAAAACTGACTGTCTTCATTTAACTATGCAGGTAGTAAACTGTTATACTAGCAACGTGTGATGACGTAGGCAATAACTGGAATGACGTCATCATGAACTTCCAAATCGCAACAAGACGGATTGCTACAGAGATTACGATCTCGAGGGATTCCGGGGGCTATAATAAAAGAAAATCACGCATTTTTCGGCAAGAAACACAATACGAAATTATTTATAACAGCAATTTTCACCACACGTCCTTTGGTTGAAGGTTTAAGTGTACAACTACATAGATATCGTTCGTTCGTTTCAGCCAAATGACGTTCACTGCTGAACAAAGGCTTCCCCCTGAGATTTCCATAACGATCGGTTCTGCACTGTCCGCATCCAGATGTACACACGACAGCACAACAGGCCACCCATTTTTGTTGCAAACTCGCCCCTATTACAACTGCAAAAGAACCCACAGTGGTTACGTTGACGTGCCGTTGTCTGTACTTCCCGCGACCTTCACTAGATCATCGGTTCACCTGGATATACACCTCTTTATTTGATACCGTTATACTAACGTACAAAGCTGCGTGTTAGAATGCATTCCACTGCATTCCACACACATGCTTCTTCATCATCATCATTTCAGCCATAGGACGTCCACTGCTGCTGAACATAGGCCTCCCCCAATGACTTCCACATCGCACGGTTGATAGCGGCCTGCATCCAGCGCCTTCCTGCTACCTTTATCAGGTCATCGGTCCACCTTATTGGTGGACAACCACGCTGCGTTTTCCGGTACGTGTCCTTGACTCCAGAACCTTGTTGCCCCATCGGCCGTCAGTTCTGCGTGCTATGTGCCCTGCCCATTGCCACTTCAGCTTGCTAATCCGTCGGGCTGTGTCATAATATGCTTCTTACTTATAGAGAGAATAATAGGTTTAAAGGTGCCGAAAAGGGCAAGTTACATCTCTTCCTTTATCGTCACATATTACGAGAAGTATCAAATGAAATTGAGATCAAAGGCAGACTTATCTTAAATGAAAATCTAGTAAACCTAGTGATTTGTCACTTCAAACCTTTTTTCCTTTGATGGAGCTCCAATTGTCGTCGCTTGGTGTTAGGTTTGCGTGGGGCGTCACGTGTACAAATATATTTGTCAACATTTACCCATGTGACATGAAACAAAATAATTTGAATTTAAAGGAATAAACTTATTATGTCAATTTATACACCTGGTGAATGGAGCCTAAACTCTCCCGATATTTTGCCTTGTACTTTTATGTATGAATATTAATTTTATANAAGGTCAAGTTCGTCCCTGGGGAAAGTTAAACTTCTAACAATATTATGCTTACCGACCTCTATTTTTTAACAACATATAAATTGTATTGTGACATGCAAAAAACGTTTTGAATTTGAATTTGTATATCTAATGTTGCCAGCGCGACGATCGAATCGATCCTAACAAGAATCGAGCTG